CCCTAATAAAACCTTCTATATACTTCTTTTTTGTTTATTCATTGTAGTTTTATTTTTTTTAAAAAGTACTTTAAACTATATAAATAATGTAAAATTAAATTGATTTAAACAGCCAATCATACGAATGTCTGCCTATGAGTTTTGATCGCTATTAAAATTTTTTCAATCAACAAGCCACCTACGATGCCTATAAATATTTTTACCCAAATTCTGCCTCCAAACAGTCTGCATTTTTTTCCCACCCATCCTGCCACAAAACTTTTTTTTTTTGATACAAAAATCATCCCAGAAAAAAATAAAATTAGTTAGACCACTTACTAAAAGGCATCGACAATCTATAGGTCTGACCTCACAACACGGTTTGATAGCTTCATGATGTACGTACATTGATGTTTTTACCTCAGAGTTCTCAAGTTCTACCACTGTATAATCGATAAGAACGATATCAAAATACGTATGTGCCAATTAAAATGACAATATGCTATTTAAGGCCTCTCAGAAAATCCTGATGAGCTAAAAAATATTAAACTCAAGCTCATATGCTTTAGGTATAAATTTTAAAAATGGAATACTGTGCCAGAAGACAACTGTTGTGTTTGTAACGAACCAAGCAATAAATCAGCTCACTGAGGTTACCAAGAGTTACCTTTCAAAGTTCCCTACAGGTAATAGTTTTTCATCCTTTTATATTTTTAAAATTAAACAGTTTAAATTACTCAATATGTCTAATAACTATATAATCATATAACTCAATGAGGTTTTTTATCATACAAAAAACTATCCCAAAAATAAAAGATATTTGGGAGTCAGAAAACATTTCATTATGCAAAGAATATTCTTTATCTGGCATTAATGGTAAAGGTAGACTTGACTTTACCATTAAACAAGATCAGAATATTCTTTGCGTAATTGAGGCAAAGGCACTCAACGGATTTTGTGAAAACGCAAAGCGTTTGTGAGGTAAAATATATGGGCTGCCGTCAATAGAAATCAAGCAAATCGACATTTGAAAAAAAATTAATACCTTAACTTTCGCAGCTCATATCTCGATGAATTTTAAAGCTATCTTGATGATTTAATATTCAAAAGAAAGCTTACTATCTAATCTTTCTTTTGAATATTAAAGCATCAAGATAGCTTTAAAATTCATCGAGATATGAGCTATGAAAGTTAAGGCATTAAGTTTTTTTTAAATGTAGATTTGCTTGATTTCTATTGACGGCAGCCCATATATACAATGGGATAGCTTTTCCGCGTGATGTGAGAGGTTTGATAAGTTGGAATTTTATTCTGCTCGGCTTCGCTTTCGTCGCAGCTTTAGATCACGCTTTAGCATCACGTTCCGAAGTCATGGTTCTTGGTCACACTGTTATTATCGTTATCGATTTCAGGAGATACGTAGGGTGTTTGGCTAATTTCAACAAAGTAAGAAGGGTATAGTGGTCGAACCAAAATCTAATATGAGTGGAGTAATTAAGAAGGAAACCGTTGAAAGACCGGATTTTGAATTTTAAATTTAATTATTATAAGATTTAATAGTATAATAAAAATGTAAATGCAAAAAAAGTTATCGTTAGTCAATTTTGTATAATTTCTACAAGATTAACGCTTTCTATTGGAATGTGTCAAAGTTTTGAATATTATGATAAGGTCAGAGTTCTGAATAGAGTTGAAAAAAAGTTTTACGGCGAAATTGATAGAATTTTGAAAAAAAAGACCGATGACTCAGCCACTTTATCTGTTATTATTCAGATCGATTTACGTCTATGAAGCCCCTGTAAAATAATATGTAAGTGCGTACAAGGGACAACTATGACGGACAAGTCGAATCCTGTAAACTTTTATTGAGGGTTAGAAAGGCTTGACTTAAATACATTTTCATCTCATCCAAGACTATTTACATCTAATATTCGGTGTCAGGCACTAATCATTGTAGAATTTCGGCCTAACGAAAACCACCTCTTCTGATATTGCATAGGAGATAATTTGTATGGGTTTACCATTTTTATGAATGGGAGCTGCTGAAGTGTTCATTAAAAAAAAACATGCTCTACAATTATGTCTTTTACCATGAAACATGTACTATCGCTATCTGCTATGCTTACTCGACAACGTACGTCGGCTACGTACGTATATATTTTTCTTGATACGAATTCGGAATTCAGCCAAAGTCGCGTGATATTTAATTGCGATCTATATTTATTATATATACATTTAGAAGAAAAAAAATCAGGTATCGGCATATATCGTGAAAAATCGAACCCGCATTACTTATGACACTTTCTGTTGACACAGAAAATCGTTCTATTCTTTTTACAATTCTTTACAAGTTTCTCTTCAACATAATTCGGGGTAGAATTATATTATCCCTTACCTACCCTAATTATATCAGAACCTCTTAAAACCAAGGATGTCAGAATTCTCAGAATTAATAAAGATTATTTAAATAATAAACAAAAATTAATATGATTTCGCATTATTGAAACTCTGCATACCAATATTTTATGATGCAATACCACAGCATTTATAATACAACGCTTAAATCACGCAGTATTGTACATGGGCAGAGAAACAAAATTGTGTAAAGAACTGATATTGTTAGTAATTGTATTAAATATATCAAATAGATAATATATATATATATACTGTATATGCTGTATGTTAAGAAAATTTAATATTTTTGTATTTATAGTTTGGTTAAATTTCATAATAAATATGTATAATAATACAAGATATCTTCTATAGATATGTATATTGTATTGACACTTATATAGTATTCACTATTTTGTAATAAAATTTTTGTCAAAAAAATGTTTTTACTAAATTTTAGAATTAGAGTTAGTTTTGGAACTAATATATATATATAATACAGTAGTTTAAATTTTAGATTATACTGTATATACAAGATTTTAAATATTTTTTAAGCATTATTCTCTAGTAATAATTTTTATAATTACAAATAATTTTTATATATAAAAGTCAATATTTTACTACTAGTTGCTTGATACATATAACAAAATATTATATATATATATATACTGTAGAACTTTATTATAACATTATTACAAAAACTAGCTAATTAATTGGTGTAAGATATTCTAAGTAAACATCAAAACCCTAACCCTAACTCTAATTACCAACCCAAATGTAAAAAATTTATGTTGAAAATTTTATATATAAAACTTAAAAAACTATAAAAAATATAATAAAGACATACAATAAATCACCATAGATGTGTTTTATAATAATTGAGATATATGTATAGGTGGCTTTCGTTAATATCAACTTTCTAAATATCAACCCCTCGTTCAATCAACTTGTAAAAAATGAGTTCAGACTATAAATTATTATCTCCTTGATACTAGGGATTGGAACCGTTTAACCGCATAGAAAATTTTTCATAGTGCCGGGACGAATTATGTTGATCATGAGCCAGGGCAATTTTAATGCTGGCTGAATTAAACGGGTAATACGGTTTAACGATTAAGAAAATTTAGGCGGTTCCAATCCCTATTTGATACGTATCAACTTTCATATATATCAGCAGAATTGTCTAATTCAAATGAGAAGGGTCGCCTGTAGTATAATTTAAAATTTTTATACAATTTGAACAATTTCTATTAATTTAATGCGTATTTATAAGTTAATTAACTTAGTAAAATTTTGATTTTTATATGTAGAACTCAGTGTTGGCATTGGACATATGTCCAATAATTTAAAAATATATTGGACATATAAGATTTTATATGTCCAATCGTTTTCAAAATCATTGGACATATGTCCAATGCCAACTCTGTGTAGAACAGTATCTATTTGTTTGTATATACTTGTATTGTATATATAGTATATAGTAAAGTTATATATAAATATTTTTTAAAAAAAACATTATACTGTATAATAATTTATACTGTATATATATAATTATTATATAATATTTATATATAGAGCAAGTTTTTTTTTAATATATATTGAATTTAATTACAGTATAAATAAAAAATAAAATACTGTATAATTAACCTATATGGTTGATTTCTAGAATATTATTGAACAAGATAAAAATTATACAGCATGTAAATGCAATCACAAAACATTTTAGTATTTAAATTTATATAATGGATAATTTAAGAAATAAGCATACTATTAAAATTTAACTACAGTATTTATTATTTTAAAATTTAAACAAATAATATTACCAATTTGAATAAAGTACTATTTATTTTCCGAGACAGCGGAAATATTCCCCGCAACGGCGGGAATAAAAGGTACATCCCGATCATCTGAGGTCCCGAAGGTCCACAAGGGTGGAGATCTACCGGCTATTTCCTTGTAATTGTAACAGAATAATAAAATAAGTGGCGATAATGTATTATTTATCTGTTATCGTTTCATATGACGACATACGGAGACTCAGGTTACTAATCATTAGGTCTCTAATGCCGAGCACGGTGCTCTTAAGGCATAAAGCCATGCTCGTGACTGCACTATTAAAACATAGTGCCGGTGCCTGGCGCTTGTGTATTGGGAGATAACCAATAAGTCTGGAGAAATAACTAGCAAAAAAATAAATAAATAAATAAATTGTAATTAATAACGTGTAAATCCCGTCATGCGATCATAAAGAGACGGTGAATAAGTAAATATCGTTGGTTCGTCCTTTTTTAATAACGTTTTTTAATTTTAATTTTTAATTTTTATGACGACTGGTTTTTGCATATATAGTGATTATAAGTCTTGGATTCTTTTTGAATTCGTTTGCACGGTAAATATTAACACTCATTTGAAGCTTAGAATGGCCTTTACAATAGTTTTTTACTAGTGAAATATTACGTTTTCGAAAGGTACTTTAAAATGTATAAATAAGTTACCCGGGCAATTGATTTGCATTAGCCAATCAGAAAAAGTATTTTCATGAGCACCCGTTCCAGAGCACTGTCCGTCCTTTATGTTAACTTTTACAAATTGTGCTTCTCAAATGATGTGTTTGTCACACGTCACACATTGATGATTGTTGTCTTACATTAACGTTAAATTGAAAGCACTCAAACTTTAAAAAAAAAACAAAAGCCATTGTTTACCGGTGCAGACTGTAGTACTGTAGAGATGGACCTTTCGAAGATAACAAAGGTTCATTTTCGAAAAATGGCGATGATTAATCTAAGAAGAGGAAAATGCTTTGCTGATTTCGTCTCATTTTCTAGGTTGAAGATGTCCTACTCGAAAGAGGACGGATTGCAGTGATTGGCACTCTTTATCTAACGACACATCAAATGATCTTTAGATCCCCAGATCAAAAGGACGAATGTGTATGCCTTTAAAAAATCAATGTTTTCAATATCGTTTACAAATCATAAAGTTCATACTTTTTTATATTTAAACTTCAAACCGAATGTTTAGATCTTGTATCCACTTATCCATACTGTTGAGCGTCGTCCTCCCACGTCGGAACCCAAATCTTGGCCCTTAACCATTCGCTGTCGTGATTTTAGCATTTACACATTTTCTGTGGAAACACAAGATGATGCGACTGATATTTTTAATAAAATACAGAAACTAACATGTATTGGTATGTAACATCTTTATATATTTATAATTTTTTGTTAATTATCCTTAACTACTAATCTATTTGAATTAAAAGGTTCTATCAGACAAGTTTATGCTTTTGAACATATGCTTGAGAAAAAATTCTTGTCATCGGATGGCTGGTCTATCTATGATGTACTTCATGAATACGATCGAATGGGTGTTGATAGCGCGACTGGATCGTGGAGATTTTCAAATGTGAATCGAAGTTATACAGTATGAGATTTTTTTTACTTATTTTTGACTTCATTTATTACATTATTTGCAGTTCACCAAATCACGAACGCACTTACGCATCCATGTTCCACTTACGTATTAAATGTAGTTTTGTGCAACGTACCCAAGAATTTTGGTAGTCCCAGCCAAAATTAGTGATAATGTTTTAAACCACGCATCAAAATTCCGGAGTAAGAATCGCATACCAGTGTTGAGTTATTTACATTGGCATAATAAGGTTAGTCGTAAGCAAAGCTTAAATATATATATATGTGTATTTTGTAGTAATGATTATTTTATTTTATTTTATTTTATTTTTTTAGGCTTCTATAACTCGTTCTAGTCAACCAATGGTTGGGCTTAAACAGAATCGTTCAATACAGGATGAAAAACTCATTGAAGCTATTTTTCGATCTAATGTTAAGACTTTATCTGAAAGAGTGACACAGACAAATTTAATTATTGATGCTCGCCCAACAGCTAATGCAATGGTTAATGTGGCGATGGGTGCAGGAACGGAGAGTGTAGAAAACTACAAATATTGTGAGAGAAGGTTTATGGGCATTGACAATATCCACGTAATGAGAGAAAGCTTAGGGAAAATGGTCGACGGTAAATTATATGTGTTTAGTAAATATATTTTTTTTTAATTTACAACTTGTGATAGAATTTTAACGTACAAAAATTTTGTAGTGATACACACTGCCGATGCTAATTGTTTGCCAATTAAAAAGCATCATTTAGATAAATCTGGCTGGCTAAGACACATTACTACTTTGTTGGAATCAGCCCTTGTAATAATCAAAAATGTGCACATTTTTGGTACTCATGTACTTGTTCATTGTTCAGATGGATGGGATCGTACGGTACAATTGACTTCACTTTCTGAGCTTTGCCTTGATCCGTATTATCGCACTTTCAGGGGGTTCCAAGTTCTAATTGAAAAAGAATGGGTATCATTTGGCCATAAATTTAGTGATCGTTCAGGTCACCTTTCTAATGAAAAGTACTTTGTTAATACTTCTAACTCAACGTTTAATTCCGTACAAAGTAAATTCTCAAAGCAATCTCATGTTCGAGAAATATCTCCAGTATTCCATCAATTTTTGGACTGTGTGTTCCAAATTTTATCTCAATTTCCTACAAAATTTGAGTTCAATGAAAATTTTTTGATCAAATTACATTACCATTGCTATTCATGTCAATTTGGAACATTCCTATGTAATTCGGAAAAGGAAAGAATGGACTATAAAGTTACAACTCAAACGTACTCGGTTTGGGATTATTTTAATTCATATAAAGAAATGTTTCTTAATCCTTTATATGACGAAAAGGCTAATTCTAAAGATAATGGTGATGATGATTGTGTATTATTTCCCGATGAGAAAAACGTTAAATATTGGGCAGGACTGTTTGGCAAACAAGACGAAGAATTGAATTGTAATAGTGATGAAGTCAAAGAAGAAAAAGTTGAAGGATTTGCAGCAAGGATGAGGTGGAGATCGAATAGCCCTAGTAGCCCTGTTTCACGACCAGCGTCCCCGAACGTTAACTCAAATCACGAAACTGTTGATGGAAATGTTTGGAAAGAAGATACACCATCACCATCACTATCGTCACCACTTAGCAAACATGTTGATTCATATGAGGATAGCCCTTATTTTGACCCATGGAAAAATAGTAGCATTAAAATGGGAAACAACAATTTCAATACAATTAAAGATAAGTTCATGAATAATGCTAATAATTTAGCAAGGGCCACTATAAGTATTGGGACAAGTGCATATTATAACGTGACAAACCTCGCAAAATCAAATTTTGATTTGGGTATTAGTGAAAGTATGTCACCTGTAGAGATTATAGACAATACTGAAGAACCAAGTATACGCGAAATGGAGTCATTTTCTGCATTGTCACTGTCAGAAAACTCAGAGAACAACAATTCGGTAACTTCAAATTCAGCCGCTTCATCATTATTTACCGAGTCACGGTCGCCACGACAAACAATTTCAACCTTCTTTTCCTCTTTCACACCTTATGATCGTAATGAAACTATTCCTTCGTTAGGAATAAAACCTGACAATGTGCCACCATCACCTTCATCTCGAGTAAACACACCAAATTCTGACCCTACATCACCTTTATCAACAACTTCATCAATAGCATCACGTTCAAATAGTTTATTAAAATTCAATTCTGAGAGTAAAGTAGGTTCGCCAATATCTACTCCACCTATGTCATCTCCATCTCCAACTACAGAACTAATAAAGGATTTACCACATCCGTTATACAATGTTGATGTGTTTTCTTCGCCTTAATTTAAAGATTTTAGATGTCTTTATTATTTTTATAGAACATGTTTTTGATACCAATGACTGTATATATAGACGAATAGTGTATATGTATACAAAGATTATGTAGTTTTTTGAAATTTCATCCATAAATTATTTTAGTAGTACATTATTAAATATGATTTGATATTATTATTGGACTTAAAATTGTATCTATAGAGATATACAGTAAATAAATTAATTCGTGATTCGCCTATAAACGATAGTTTTATATAGTAAAGTTGGGATTAATTTAATATAAGTATTATAATATAGCCACCAATCCCACTTCGCCCTATAGTAAAGTCGTTTTTCTACCAAGTCAACCACACTTTTTAACTTCTAATAAAGGTTGTAGAGCTAAATTTTCTGGTTCTAATGGTGGTAAAATCATTAAAATTGGTCTAGTAGTTCTTGCGATATCCTTATTTTTCTTGTAATCATAAAATTTCCTTACAATTTTGTAAAGGAATTTTCTATGATTACAAGAAGAAAAATTAAGATTTCTCAAGAACTACCAGACCAATTTTAATGATTTTGCCACCATTAGAACCAGAAAATTTAGCTCTACAACCTTTATTAGAAGTTAAAGTTGGTTGACTTGGTAGAAAAACGACTTTACTATAGGGCGAAGTGAGATTGGTGGCTATATTATAATACTTAAATTAATCCCAACTTTTACTATATAAAACTCGTTTATAGGCGAATCACGAATTAATGTATTAATATATTTGGAGTGCGATTCTTCCTTTTTTTCCATCATTACGATAAAAATTATTAATACTAATGATTTTTGATAACAATCTAAATCCTTTAAATATTTTATTATAATATTAAGCAAGCATCTCAGAGAAAATGTTGGTGTTTTCCTATATTGCTTCGGAGGGATAAAAAATATATACGGGCCTTTATCAAATATCATCCAAGAGAGTTACTTTATTTTCATATGCCGATTTTATTGTTACTCTGTAATTGGGAAAACCCGGTTCAAAGATGTTTAACAGTGTTGTGAAATTTTGCTGTCCAATTGGTTTAGACATATGTCCAATTGACTTTGAAACAATTGGACATAATAGCCTTAACAACGCTGATGTTTAAAATATCGATTGATTATGTCCCTGTTAGATGGTGATAAATATTGTGCGATAAAGACTAAACCGGACCGAATATTATTTAATATCTGGACAATATTGATACATTATCCGGCAAACTCATATGATCATGAAAAAATTTCTTTCTGTTATTTTTTTCATGTGTTACGATATAATTATGTTATTCCAATATTCAAAAAATAAAACTCAGCGAGCGACTCCCTACCAATCATGATCAAAGCGGCACGTGCTCATTTGCCAAATTACCGTTATTCGACAATTTTTGCCCAATATTGTATACATATGTGGATTCTATTAGTTATTTTCATTATTTCCAGTACAATTAAAAAAATTATCGATTATTTATATTATGTAAAATTTGTCAATAATAAACACATTTACCATCACGAAAAAAAAAACCATCAAATCAAGCTATATTTTTTATTTCTACCATATTCATCAAAAACCTTTATCGATATATATACAAAAATATAAAATCATATAAATATAGTTCTATGATTCGAAGTATTCAAAACTAAATAACCGACGAATGGAAATTAACCTTCCACCAGTAAAAAAAAAAAAAAAAAAAGGTTTCGGAAATCGATCAAGAAATAAGAAAACAATATGATAAAAATACATTTAAAAAATTATCTGTGTGGAGGTTTGGTTCACGTCATATTGTTGGTATGGTAGTGGTAGTGAGAAACCATTTCTCATAAGAAAGACCCCATACTATCGTTATTCTCAGTTCTCTTTAATTTTTTTTAGGGAACTCTCAAATTTCTCGATTTTTTTTTCCATTTTTTATCACCTTCACATTCTTTACTGATTCTCTTGTAATTCAGATCTGGCTTTACCCTTCAGGCCGGTTTGAAACCAGTTTAAAGAAGACCGATTACGTTTTTCTTTTTTCACATCTTTGAGTTCTTCTAGTTCTCTGAATTGAGACCTTTTTCATGGGAAAGCTTTCTTGGGGAAAGCTGTCACTCTCTTGAGGATATATTCCAATAACAGGGTAGCGCTTTTCTTTACCCATTTTTAAATGGGGTCTTTGCCTTGAAAATGACCTTACGGGACTATGTAGATTTTATGAATAAAAATTAAAATTTCTAGCTATCCAGTAACCCAATTCAAAATAAACCTTTTTTATTTTGTAGAGCTTAGCGAGTTCTACAAAATAAAAAAAAAAAAAATTATTTGAATTGGATTATTAGATGGCTAGAAATTTTATTTTTATTCACAAAATTTACATAGTCCCGTAAGGTCATTTTCAAGGCAAAGACCCCAAATGTTAATATGAAATGACGACTTAATAAAAGTTGACAAAATTCTTATAAATGATACGGAGACATCATGTTTAAAGTAAAGTAAAAATGAGTGTTTGTGAATATTATTTTCGACACAAGTTCATTTGTTAACACCCATTTTTCGTTTTCGGCCACTTGAAGAGTGAAATATCTTTATTATTGCAATATTGGCACGTCCATTAGTTAGTCCCAGCACATGATCCTGTCTGTGATCATTCCAAAAAGGTTGTAACTTGATTGGTTAAATATTCCAGTACTGTATTCACGTTTTTCTTGCCGGAGAGCTGGCCTGCTTTAGAACTTATATGGGATCATTCTATTTTAAATGTCAGCCTAAATTGGTCTTAAAAGCTGCCTGCTTTAGTACCTTTATAAGTTATCCGATCTTCAAATCTTGATTTTTAGCTGATATACATGACTTCCGTCACGACAAATCTTCCTCTACAATATCAACGCGAAATATTAAATGAACTTTTAGCTGAAGATGGTTTCTTGATTCTTAGTCGTGGCTTAGGCTTAAGACGTATAATATGTGCGCTCCTTAAAATATACTCTCATACAAGTCATTTGGTAATTTTGTTAAATACTCCCGCAAATGAGGAAATTATTATAAAGGAAGAACTTGCAGAAATGGGCGTTAGAAAGCCTGGCCTGAGAGTTGTGAATAATGAAATGGGTACCAAAGAGAGGTTGGTACCTTTAACCTATAAATTTAGTCATTATTTAGAAAGTTAAATTTTGTAAAGACGCCTAGAAATGCCATATCTTACTGCAAATAGGCACCACTCTCAGTTTGTCGAAATTTAGTGATGTTTATTTGTTGTAGGATACGGTATTTTAAAGTAGCAATAGTATATTTTGTAAATCAATCAGAAATGTTTTACAATAAAAAGATATTATTTCAAAAAGCATGTAAATTCTCTGTAGATCTGAATTATATCTCTCAGGTGGTATCATATCGATCACTTCTCGAATTCTTATAGTGGACCTATTGACAAAACGAATTCCTTCGTATCTTATTACTGGAATATTAGTGAACCATGCAGAGAGGTAAACTTAACGTTGTTTTATGTAAAGTGATACTTTAGCTATTTTATCACAAAAACAACTTAAATGTATAAAATTTCGTCAGGGTAAATGAAACGTCAATAGAAGCATTCATATTGAGGGTATATAAAGAGGAAAATCAGGCGTGTAATCTTTTATGTGTATATATGTATATTTTATAATTGAGTTCGACGTGTATATGCTTATTTTCTAGTTACCATTATTATTGTCAGGAAGGATTTATTAAAGCATTTTCAGACTCTCCTGAATCCTTTACTGGTTTTTCACCATTACAAACGACTGTACAGTATCTCCAATTACGCAAAGTGTTTTTATGGCCCCGGTATCTATTATGACGATTATATTCTTTTATTCTTTCATTTATATTTTTTAAAACCAAATGGTTATTTATTTATTTATTGTTTATTTTTTTTAAATTTATTTTAAAGATTTCATGTGACTATACGCGAGTGCCTTGAAGAGCGAAAGGTTGAAGCGACTGAATTATATCAACATTTATCTAATTCAATGAATGATATACAATCAGCTATCCTTGAGTGTATTGAAGCTTGTGTAGCAGAACTTAGAAAGACAAATATTGCTTGGGTATTTTATTGAGTATGGTTCATTATCCGTACAATATATTCGTAACTGTCAACAATTTCACGCTTATATATTATCACATCATGTGATATTAGTTAGACATCGAGGATTTAACTGTAGAGCAAGCTTTTTTTAGATCTTTTGATCATATAATAAGACAACAACTCGATCCAGTGTGGCATCGTGTTGGGCAGAAGACAAAGCTGCTGATCGGCGATTTGACAATATTACGAAAGTTACTCACGTACGTTATAACAAAAGATTTTATGTCTATATGCAAACACATTTTAGTAATCATATGTTTTAATAGATATCTGGTGAGCTATGATTGCGTGACTTTTCATAGTTTTTTGGAAACTATACTAGCGAGTCAAACGCCATCATCTACACTGAGCCAGCAGCAACAATCATCATGGATATTTATGGACGCTGGAAACACTATATTCTCTGTGTGTTTAAATTTCAATTTTATATCATAATTTGATACATATAAACCTTTTAGTTACAGTTGAATAACGTTATTATAAAATAGGTGGCCAAAAGTCGCGTATATCTTAGAGAAACTCAAAGGAACACTGTGGAATGTGATGACGATGATAATGACGATGGTGATAAAAGAAAAGGAAAAAAACCAGACCATTTAAGGCATCCACCAGGGATTGTACCAGTGTTGGAAGAATTACCGAAATGGGGGTTGCTGGCCGATATAGTTAATGAGATAGAACTCGAAATTGAGTCGTTATCAGGCCTCCCACCTTCTGTTGAAGGTATATATATATTTTTTGCGTATGTTAAATGATCATTTTATTTAACTGTATATCGTATATTGTATGGTATAAAATATTATAAATATTTAGAAGAATCGAATAATATTATTTTGATAATGGCTGAAAATGAGCGCGAATGTTCTCAATTACGTGAATATCTTTCTACGATGCATAAAGGATTAGAAGAAGGTCAAGGACGGGGCGGGCCTTTGTTACGACGATTGCTGCAGAATTATTTCAAATGGAAAGGTGATATTGTCAAAGTAAGCGAAAATTTGTTTAATCCATCAAAAGATTCTGCTCAAAGTGAAGATAATCAAGAGAGTAATAATCAAACGGCAACATCTTCAGGTATTTGTAATCGAGTATAAATGTCGGGCATATATAATACATATATCAGTGTTTCGGGCAAACTATTTTCCAAATCCGAAACGTTTCGCCCAGAGGAATTTTAGGTTCGCCCTATAAGTCCGAAACCCTCCGAAACTAGTTTCGCCCGATTTGATCTGCAAATGATCTGCAAAATCGGGTTTCGCCCGAAACACTGACATATATATAATATTTATTTATTTATTTATTTACTTATTTATTTATGATGAAACAAAAGAGCCAAAAAAGCAATATCAACGTGGACAACAGCCACCTAGCAAACGAAGGCGTGTTCGTGGAGGATCAATAGCTGCTGCTGCGTCGTCAACGCGAACCACTGTCTCGATAATTGAAGAAGAAGCCAAAGAAATAGCAAATTTGTATGCATTAATTATTATATTATTTGTTTTGATAACTTATATATCTTTTTTTGCCTAATATTATATGTCATTACATAGTATCAATAGTAATATTACATCCTTTGCTACAAGCTCCGTACAAAAGGAAGCTCCAAAAACTAGTGGGATGTATGATGATGATGAATTTGATGCCAAAGCGTTTTCAACATACTTTGGACTTCTTCCATTGCAATCTTTAGTTATTATTCGACCAATTTCTGGAGATGATGACAGAATGTTAGAGGCGCTAAAGCCTAAATATATAATTATCTATCACCCAGATCAAGGATTTGTTAGGCGCGTAGAGGTAAGGGATCAATCATGTCTTTATCTAAAGTTTATAAATTGACGCGATTGTTCAATATAATATATAGACATTCCGCGCAGTACATCCCGGAATATCATGCAAAGTATATTTCATGATTTACAAAAATTCGGTAGAAGAACAACGATATTTAAGCGCCATACGAAAAGAAAAAGAAGCTTTTGAAAAATTGATTTATGAAAAATCTGTGGGTCTCATTTTTTCGTTAAATGACATTTTGATAAACTTTTATTGGCATAGTACTTTACGTGATAATAATAATTGTTTTTACTGTTTAAACAAAGATAATGGCAATTCCTTTAGGCAAACCAAGAATTATTTCGCGTAATCCAGATGATATGTTTTTGAGGACAACTAATACTCGTATAGCAGGTGGAAGAGAAATTGTTCAGCCAGTTGCACATAAGGTAAAAGCAATTTGTCAAGTCTTAGAAAATATTGTATCTATCTTTGAAATTACTTTAATTTTAAATTGATGTGCTTAGATTGTAGTAGACATTCGAGAATTTCGTAGCAGTTTACCATCGCTTCTTCATGCACACGGAGTAGAAATTCTTCCATGTACATTAAAAGTTGGTGATTATATTTTATCACCAGATATTTGTGTCGAGAGAAAATCAATCTCTGACTTAATTGGAAGTTTTGTCTCGGGAAGACTGTGAGTATTGCCAAATATTTTGTCAAGAATAACATAAACTAATATATTCCGAATTTTATCAAAGATATACACAATGCGAAACCATGTCAATATACTATAAACAACCCGTGTTATTAATTGAGTTTGAACAAAATCAAACGTTTACACTTCAAGTAAGCCTTTTTAAATATTTTAATAACTATTATAAAAAAAAATGGTATAAACTAATTTTTATTCCAATCGTTAAATTTACATTAGGCAATAAATGATTTAAAGTCTGACATCAACATAAACGATATTTCTTCAAAACTAGTGTTGCTTACTTTGACATTTCCTCGTGTAAAAGTAATTTGGTCTTCAAGTCCTCACGCAACTGTCCAAATATTTGAAGATTTAAAGGTAAATTATACCAGTATAATCTGATTGCTTGGACAAAAAATTAATAGATAGTTTTTCAATTAATAATTTAAAGGAATTGCGTGGTGAGCCTGACCTTGAAACTGCACAGTCTATCGGGGTAGAAAATGAGGATTTCCCAGACTCTAACTTGTCACCACAGGTGAATAATTTTTTTGCCCGTATGGTTTTGTAATTTTATATGTACATATTCATGTGAAATTTTTATGATCAGGATATCCTTCGCACGCTGCCCGGGATAACAGCGAAAAACTATAAACATGTTATGTCAAAAGTTGAAAATTTACGTGAACTAACCGAATTATCTTTAAGAGAGTTGCAAATTTTAATCGGTGTTGAAAATGGCAAAAAATTATATGAATTCCTCGAAAGAAATGTTAAAATATAAAATAACTTTTGTAATACAGTAATATAATAATTGATGCTTTTTATCTTAAATTACGGAGCGACCATTCTCTATATTTTAAAATTAAACTTTGGTACGACATATACTATTGTATGTTTATGTGAACATAAAGCTATTTTCATGCGTGTTAATTCATATGTTAATACTTAGTATAATAAATACATACGCGTTTTTTTCGCGTTTTTATGATATAGTATGATAATTATACATTGTAAGAAGGACAGCGTCACATTTATAATTAATACTTGTATCTTTCGTACCAGTATAAGTGCGAAATAACGCCATGGGTGTTATTTTGAAAATAGTCCGAATTAAGCTTAATTTAGGCCAAAATTCGAAATTACACTCCTGAACGTTATTTCACGTTTACCAAAGGTGTTTTAGAAAGCCTGTAATATATGTTTAATGAAAATTTAATGATAATACAATGAATAATAAAAGTTTAGTGTGGTTTATATATTGTTTTCTTTTTTCTATCACTAGGAAAATGTTATGTCCGGAGCATATTATCTCATTGCTCAAACGCGTGAATGTGCATGTTTTTGTTATACTAATTACAAATTTGAACACGCGTGCGGACGGACAAAAAATTTCTAAATTACGTTTATGCGGATGCATCAAAAAGTCATTATAGTTGTAGATGCTCATAAAGAAATTTTATCGTGCGATATTATAAATGATTACAATTAAAATTATATCGAAATGATAAATATTATTTAAATCTATATTATATTAAACGATAACCAAATGACACAACAGTGAAGCCATCATTAAACAAAGGCATGATAGTACAAGCGTTGTCTAATAAGCGTTAATTAAAATTTCATATTATAATAATATCTTTGTCGTTAATGACACTATAAAAATTAGACAGTCTTTTTATAGGTAAATAACGTTGAATAATTAAATAGTAAATGAAAATTAATTATTTACCACACTTGACGCTGTTCCCATTTCACGTAATGATATAACCGTTGATTCTCTACACAAGTTCTTTAAATCTGCACCTGTATTTAATTCTGTCTTTTTAAGGTCAAATAATATTTAATTTATATTGTAAAAATTTTTTTAGATAATGTCGTTCGTTATAATCGAGTTTACCTGCTTGGCAATCAAATTTAAATTAACATCATCACTTAAAGGCATATTTGAAGTATAATCTTTAAATTTGCTCTCGTGCAGAAAAGTCTGACGGCAGAACCTAGTATCATAATATCAATATAATATTTAAACAATTCATGTTCCATTCATATTTTTTAAAAGTCGTTTAATTAAAATGAAACATACATATATTAACTTATCGAATCTACCAGGTCTTAAAAGAGCTGATCAAGCATATCTGGTCTGTTTGTTGCGCCCTTAAATTGTTGAATATCCTTGTATTAATTACTAATTACAAAAATATAGTCGTATTAGTCGATTTAACATTAGTCGACTTAGTCGACTTAGCAGGCTAAGTCAGCCGATTTTTTAAAAAACTGGCTTA